TAGGGCAAACTGAAGAAATTAGTATTTAATAATTTTTAACTTCAAAAAAATTGTAAAAAAAAAAACGCCTAACGGTCAACAACTGTCGTTAACCGCCATTAAAACGCTAACTCATTAGACTTGGCGTTTTGGCCTCGTTTCACGCCTAGGTGCGTCTTTTAGAATACTAGTTATTAGAATTTAGAAATAACTTCATCAAGTACCTAAAAATTTGATTAATTACAATTTGACCTAATTTTCTCGAAAAAATAAATATAAGATACGCATACCCACACTCAGAAAAAAGCCCATACCATTTTGCAGTATCTATTAATTTAAGATCAGATCTCTTCCCGACTTCCCCACATCAAGATGACTAGCTTTCATAAGTTCTAGCTTATTTCTGAATTACTTAGACTTTCTAGCTTTTGAGAATTGGATATGGCAACAAGTGATGTAAAGCTTTTAGGATTGTGGGCAAGCCCATTTACAACCAGGGTTCAAATGGCTCTTAAGCTGAAATCTATTGAATTTGAGTTCATTCAAGAGAATCTGCAAAACAAAAGTGAACTCCTCCTTAAGACAAATCCAGTTCACAAGAAAGTCCCAGTTTTCATCCATGGTGACAAACCTATCAGTGAGTCTCTTATCATTATTCAATACATTGATGATACCTGGATTAATGGCCCCTCCATTCTCTCTTCGGATCCATATGATCGGGCCATTGCCCGTTTCTGGGCCACCTATATCGATGATAAGGTACAGTTCTTTTTCTCTTGTATTCTTTTCACAGTGAGTCCGTAGTAATCGTTAAGGATCTAGTTGCTTTATATCTTTTTGTAGACGTGGTTGTAATTTGACATACTTGGAATGAATCCAGTGGTTTCCATTGTTGAAGGAGCTAGGATCGGCGCAGGGAGTCGACGCGAAATCTTCAATTATGGAGAAGATTTTTGAAGGGTTGGTTTTGTTAGAGGAGGCTTTTGTTAAGTGCAGCAACGGAAAAGTTTTCTTCAGTGGAGATAATGTGGGTTACCTTGATATTGCACTAGGTTGCTACTTGGGATGGGTTAAGGCTACAGAGATAATGACTGGTGTAAAATGGCTTGATGAAACTAAGACACCTGGCTTGGTGGGATGGGCTGAGAGGTTATGTTCAGACAGTGTTGTTAAGGATGTTCTGCCAGAAGCTCAGAAACTTGTAGAACTTTACACAATGTCCGCAGCATAGGAGAAGGGTGATTCCGAGTGATAATACTTCGATTGCAAGAGAAGTTTTGATTTTTCTATCAGTTGTATCAAGAAATATGCTTTGACTATGTAGTCTATGTTTGACAAATAAGTTTCTATAGGAGAAGTTTGGATTTTATTTTTTCTTTGTGAAAGATAATCTTTTCAACTTTCTTTTGTTTCTCCTTTATTGTGGAATTTGAGCAGGTGCTTTAATGAAATGAGCTTGATCAGGGGTACTTGTTAAAATGACCCA